TGGGAGGGGGGTGCCAAAGCAAAAAGCAGGCTGCAAAGAGCACAAAGAGACTGCAAAACGCCCTGTGCTGTGAGAACTGTTTTGTCTAAGCCATGAGTGAGGGCCTTGTCGAAGGCTCAGCCTACAGTTAGGGTTAGGATTAGAGAACCCTGCTCACTTTGGCACTGTGTTTAAGGTAAGTGTCTCTAAACACTTTCCTGCTATCAATAATTTATCCTTTGTTCTATTCCAAGACATTCTGTGTTTATATAACTATTGAAACACCTATGTGGTGGTAGATAGGTGATCTTAATTTTGAATCATAGAATGGCTGATTCTTCTGCCAATGAAGACTAGTTTAATCTACAGTTCATTTAAATTAATGGAAAAATCTGCTTTGTCTGGGGTCATAAATGATTTGCTGAAACCACACACACACAGTGAGTCACAGTTCAGAACATAACTCAAACGACCAGGACTGTATTCCCATGCTCTAACCACTAGATTACAGTCCCTCCCACATATACCCTGCAATAATCTTTGCTCAAACGATAACAGCATTTCCCCACTTTACACGTTGGACAGCATTACTGAGTAAGGCACATCCTACCCAACGGGTGTACAGCTCTGCAGGGCTGGGGGAGGAAGCACGTTCAAGTTAAAAGTCATTAATTTTGCCCAACACCACTAGAACTTAACCCTCTCCTCGGAAAACCAGCAGCTCTGGACCCCCCCGATTTACATCTAACTGAAAAGTGAAATCCTTGATCCTGATCTGCATTTATGTTTCACCCATCTCGAGCAGCGCGTGCTTGCAGACTGGCGGTCACGGGGGATTTCGGAGGAGCAGCTTGACCTTTCTTCCCCTCCGCAGCCCACCATGAGCCCCGTGGGGAGGAGGCAAAGCCCCCCGGAGCAGTCCCGTCCAGCCCGGGGCCGAGCGGGGCTCGGGGGCTGCCCCCGCACCAGGGACTGGGACACGTCCCCTCTCATGGCCTGCGCATCCCCGGGACACACACTTGTGGGTCCAAATCTCCCTTTTCCGGGGTGTTTAATTTTTGCCGTGCTGGACACAGACGGCGCGGGGACCATGGGCACACCACGGGGGCAGCGAGCTGTGCGGAGCTCGGCTCTCCCGGGCGGATCCCCCTCCGCGGCAAAGGCGGACACGGGCGCTGCTGAAGGGGAAGGGCCCCGGGGCAGCTTTCCCTGGCACGCAGCCCCAGCCCGGCCGCCCGGGCACGGAGCCCCGCCGGGGGAGAGGGCGGGCGGCGCCCGGGGGTCCCCGCTGACCCCCTCACAGGGCACCGCGCCACACGCCGGGCGCCGTGCGGGGCAGCTCCGGGACGGGACGGGACGGGACGGCCCGGAGGGAGCCTCCTCCCCCATCGCCGCCGCCCCCTCCCGCCCCCACGGCCGGGTCCCGCACCCCTTCCCCGCCGGCCCTGCCGATCGCCCGGAGCCGGGGGCACCGCGCCCTGCCCCGCCGGCACCGAGCGGGCCCGACCCGGCCAGGGCGGAACTCCGCGGGCGCGGCGAGGGGCCCGGGCCGCGTCTGGCCGGGACGGGACGGGCACGGCCGGGCATCGGCAGCGCTGCGGGGCGAGCGGGGACCCTGCCCTGCCCTGCCCGCCGCCTCCTCGCTCGGCCGCGCCGTGCCTCGGCCTCGTCCCCCGCTGTCGCGTTGTCCCGGGCGGGCTCCGTGTCCTCGCCGCCGGGAGATCCCCTCGTCCCGCCCGGCCCCGCGTCCCCCCGCCCGCCCGCAGCCCCCGGCGCGGGTGAAGGGTGAAGCCAGGGGTGACTCACGGGCACACATCTGACACCGCAAGTGTTTAGGAAATTGCCGCTCTCTTTAGAGGCAACCGCGTATTTATTTCTCTGGGGCGAAAATCGGGGAGCTGCGCTCCACGAGCGGGATGCTCGTCTGGAGGAAGAGGGGAGCTTCTAGCTTTTCCTCCTACAGAAAGAGGGCTGGAAACACGCAGAGAGGCGGATGGTTATGGTAGAATATATGCTGTTTATTTATGAACGTAACCAGGACTTCTGACTTTATATGCGGTTCCCCCCCAAATTAAAAAAAAAAACAAACACCAATGTGTGTGCATATACATAGACGTATACATACCATACACACACACACTGCACACACATACACACACCGCCAGCACTGTGCTCTGTCATGCTTTCAAACAGCTTCATCCACCTTATTCTCTCGTCATGACTTACTTCAGTTGACAAATTGTTGTGCAGCTACAACACGAGGAAGAAACGCTCTGCATGGCTACCAGCACACCCTGGAAGGGAGCCTGTTTGTTTGTTTATTTTTCTCTCACCCTGGGAGAAGCTCCAGAGTCCAAAGGTGCTGCAGCACCAGGGACAAGCCTCCTTGCCCCGCCGCAGGCGCCCTGCAGCCCCACAGCCCGTGACCCCTTCCAGGCACCTTTGCCTTGGGGTTAGGAAGCAGCAGCCAGTACAGGACAATGTGAAGAAGGCAACACACACTCACACTCACCCACCCACACAAATAATAAAATAACATTGCAGCACGAGGGCATAGTCTCTGTCACCAGATAAAGTTGTGTGATGGCAAAGATCCAAGTAATGCAATAAAAATAAAGTGTAGCTAGTATACACGGAAAGGCTTTCACATTACATGAGGCACAGCTTGGACGGACAGAGACTTGGACAGGAGCTAAATGTCCTGGAATAAAGCAAAATACACTGAAAGTTCATAGTAAATACCCGCATCGATAGGTATTTATTCATTTGTGCTTCGCCACGTCGTGACATACAGTACACTGCTGCTCTTTCTTTTGATGGAGGGAGCTCATCACACACTCGTGCAAGCTGCTGCTCCATCAGTCCCAGGCTGTCCATTGGTCCCACAGCAGTGGTGGCCCCTTGCCCTTCTCCCAGTCAAGGCAGGGGACAGGGCTTGGCAGAGGCAGCCCAGCCAGGCTGGGACAGTCCTGGCAGCAGTCTAGCGGCTGCCCCACACCTCAGTGCTCCAAACGGGTGTCCAGTGCTGCATGTCTCTCAGCCTCGAGTCCTCTTGTCGCTGGCATCCCCACAGCTGCTCCTGCCTGCTGAACCGCAGGCCAGCTGGGAGGGCCTGGCAGGACACCCCAGACACCCCGACCCTCAAGCCTGCACGTCCCTCACCCTTTTTCCTCATGCCCTTCCAGGCTAGAGGGCACAGAAAGCCCCAGAGCTCCTGCAGCTAGCTTTTAAGGCACATCTGGGTTGCTATACGTGCTTTATTACTATTATTATTATTATTACTGTTATTTACCCTGTGTAGACACGTGGGCTTTTTAATTCTTCCTTCCCCTTGCTCTTCTCCTTAAAAAACCCACCATGTTTTCAGGTTACTCGTGTGTCATCCGTAAGGCACAAACCTTGTAATACTAGAGCTGCCTGGCTTCTTGTATAGGTCGTGAACTGATAAAAAAAACCAAACAAACGAAACAAAACAAAAACAATACAGCCCCCATCCCCCTTTCCCCCGGCACAGTGCGCTCGCCGCGCTCCGGTACGTAAAGTATCTGTGGGCGGGCAGGGCAGCCCGGCCGGTCCCGGCGCGGCCCTAAGCGCAGCTGCCCATGGCCTTCACCAGCGAGCTCTCGGGCAGCTGCCTGAAGATGCCCCGCAGAGTCTCCAGCTCGCGGGTGAGCTGCTCCACCCGCTTGCGCAGCCGCTCGTTGTCGGTGGTGAGCTCCAGCACCTTCTGCTGCGTCTCCACGTTGCGCTGTTTGGCCTTGTCCCGGCTCTTGCGCACCGCGATGTTGTTGCGCTCCCGGCGCACCCGGTACTCATTGCTGTTCTTGTCCACTGTCTTTTTCGATTTGCTCCGGTGGTCCGCGGGCATCATCTTGAGGGCGCCGGCGGCGGGCAGGCCGCCGGGGGGGTGCGGGTGGTGCGGGTGGTGCGGGCTGGGCACCGGCGTGGGGGGCGGCGTGGGGTGCCCGGGCTGGAGGTGCATGGTGGTCTGGGCGCAGTGGGCGATCTGGTACTGCAGGTGGGACGGGTGCTGCTGCGGGGCGTGATGGGGGTAGAGGGCCGACAGGGCCGCCGACTTCACCTCCTCCTCCTCTCGGGGCTCCTGCTTGATCACCAGCGGCCGCAAGCCGGGCGCGGCGATGCGCTCGTACAGGGGGTCGAGCTTGCCGTCCATGTAGCCGGCCACGCAGCCGAAGAGCGGCTGCTGGTGGTGCTGCTGCTGGTGCCCCGGCGCCGAGGCGGCGGCGCCGGCCCCATGCATGGTGTGGAAGTCGAAATCCCCGGCCAGGATGGCCTTGGCTTTCTCCTGCTGCTTGCTGTGCTGGAAGAGGTCGGCCAGGAACTCGTCGTTGAAGGCGGCGGGGTCGATGTAGGCGCTGATGTCGATGGAGTTCTCGTTCTCGCAGATGTCGCCGAGCTCCGCGCCGCCCGCAGCAGGTGCCGCCGCCGAGGGAGCCCCTCTGTAGCTGTAAGCGCTGCCGGGCAGGGGAGTCTGGAGCTGGTGGTGCTGACCGCTGCTCATCGGGGGCCGGGAATCGACCTCGTAGAAGTTGGCTTGCTCCATGAAGCACCTACAGTCTGCCGGGCATGGTGAAGGGCTGCTGCAATCCAGCTTTCGAACGGGACGACGGCGGCGGCGGCGGCGGCTCTAAAAATCCTGTGGCACCCGGGCCCTGGGCGGCGAACGGCACCGCGGCTCGGCTCGGCTCGGCACGGCTCGGCTCGGCTCGGCGCGCCCGGAGCCCGTCCCCGGCCCAGCCCCGCTCCGCTCGCTGCCTGCCTGCCCTGTTGCTAGTGGGCTGCCGCGGTCCTGCGTGCCGTATATATACAGCCCGCAGCAGGGCCGGGGATCGCCCTCTAGTGTCCAACCTCCTGCTGGGAACCTTTGACCGCCGCGCAGCCGGGGCTCAGCGCCCCGGCCGGGCAGCGCCGCCCGCCCTCCCCCGGGAGCCGCCGAGCCGCGGGAGAGCGCCCCGCACACCCAGCCCCGCACACCCGCACACCCAGCCCCGCACACCCGCACACCCAGCCCCGTAACCCGCACAGCCTGGTCCCGCACAGCCCGGCCCCGCACACCCGGCTCGGTGGGCTCGGAGCGCCCGCCGAGGAGGCTCCGCGCTGACAGGAGGCCCCGGGGAACGGCGCGGGGACTTTGCGCTGCCGGGGCCGCTCGGCGGGGCAGGAGCGGCCAAAGGCGGCCCCGGTACATTTCCACCGCCCGCTCCCGCCCCTGCGCCGAGAGCTCCGGCCCAGCGCTCCCCGGCCGCGCTTCGCAGGGAGTCTCAAAGTTCACCATCAGCCGCGCATACTTGCAAATATTTGGCCAGCAGTGAACATTCCCGCCGTCGGGATTGGGACGCGCCGCCTCACCGGCGGTGGTTCCCTGCCGGCAGTGCCCCGGGGCCGGCGGGCTCGGAGCATCCGCCGGCGGGACCCGCGGGGCTCGCCCGGGCACAGCGGGACCGGCGGGCCCGGCCCCGAGCGGCGCTAGGACCGTGCGGGGATGGCTCCCGGCGGGCAGGGCGGGCAGCGCGGTGGCCGCGGAGCCTCGGTGGCGATCGGCCGGGCAGCCCCGCCGGCTCCGGCCGTCACTGCCGGCCCCAGGCCCGGAGGAGCTGCCCCGCCTGCACGGGACAGCCGGAGCCGGGTCACCTGCGGGCCCCCTCACCCCCCGCACGAATCAAGCAGGTAAATTTAATGACGGATTTCTCCAAACGCACGCTCAGCAATCCCGAGCGGTGCCGGGCCGCCTCCTGGCCTTGACCCGAGATAACCGCGGGCGCAGCCGGGCCCAGTCCCCCCGGGCCGGTGCCCCGGGCGTTCCCTGTCTCCGTCTTCTGAGGGTTTCGAAGGAGATCGATGCTCCCGCAGCGCGGGACTGGAGAGGAGCAGCCCCCGTGGCTCCCCTGCGGGCTGTGCGCCCACAGCAGCTCCTGTGCGCGGCCACAGCCTCCCCAGGAGCCTCCGTTTCAAGCTTCAGCTCGGGAGGGGTGAGCGTGCACAAAATTCCTCCTGCTGCGATCCCTCCAGTGCGCAGAGCAGATGTCTCTGTCCCCCCTTGCACGGCATCCAGGTGCACCGCAGGGAACCCCACGGGCATTTAGTTCTCCTGGCCCCGAAGGTCCCTTTGAAACTGGCATAGAGAAAGGACAAGCCAAGGCCACGGGAGCAGGTGGGGGTTAAAATTGCTACAGAAAGATCTGCAGGGAAAACGAATCAAACATAGCGATGGCTGGAGAAAAAAAAAAAAAGCTGCAATTCTTAGTTCTGGGTTTTTTAGTAAAACAAACTTGTGACAGTAAATTCCTTGCTTAGAAAGGGTTTGACAGATTCCTTGCAGTTAAAAATAATTGACAAAGTATTCAACAGGCAACAAAAAATGAGAGTGCACCGGGCCCCCGTGTTTTTGTTTCACACAATGCATGTGTGAACCTCTGTGTCATGAGCAAACACGAGGCCAGTGGAGTCAGTTGGCTTTTGCACTCCAGTGTCCTCTCAGAAGAACGGATTCTGTAATTGTAGGAGGGAAACATTAATTTACAGACTACAGAATATACTTTTCACTATCAACAGAAAAAAAAAATCAATCCTAAATTGTTTTTTATATACAGTCAGTATTTTCTAAAATTATATGTCTTGGCTTCAGCGCAGCAGCAGTGCCTCACAGGGGTGCTTCCACAGGGAGCTGTCTAAGAAACTCTAAGAAACCAGAACACTAGCAAGAACTCTGAAAAAAGTCATGATACAGAGGAAAATCCCCAAGTCTGTGATAGGAGTGAGTTTTGGGTGTTTTGGAGTGGAGAGTAAAATGCTCCTAACTGCACCCATCTTTCCAAATTCAGCTTGTTCTACTCAAGTGAACCCATTTCCAGAAAAGGGACAAACCCAGAGCTGGACTTGTTGCCTGGTGGGAGAAATATCATCTGGAATAGAAGCTAGTAAGAAGTTTATACTTGGAGCTTTTGAGAGGCCTTATCCCTCTCTGAAGTCAGCAGAAACAGGAATAGGCCATAGATATTTAAAATAAAAGTTCAGTGCTGCATGAAACAACAGAAGGATAACTAAGAAAATGTAAGCAGAAGCATATAACTAAGTTTGTCATTTAATAACAATACCTACGCCTATTTAGTCTTTAAAATGCTCTCCCATTTTATAATCATTCTGAAATTAAGGCCTAACCACATATTAAAAAAAATTCAAAGTAAATCAGAAAGTTTAGGATCAAATTCCATTCCTAATTACTGTAATTAACAAACAAGTCCCCACAATTTAAGGACTGGTTTGCTCAGTATTTATTTTTTTTTTACATAGACCCCTTTTATCTAAGTTAAGAACTTTAAAATCATCTCTTTTTACATGAAAACAAAAATTCCTGTTCAAATTGTTTTAATATGGTATAAAATGAGGTTCCCAGACTTAACAAATAAGACTTTGTCTTTTTATTATCCCTACTTCTCTGAAGACAAAATATTTAGAACAGGATCATCCCCAGACAAGCACAAATGCTTATTTCCACATTCGTATCAACAGTGACTGATACCAAATATTTCAAATCATAAACAGAAAACTAGTTCTCGTTGCTTCAGTTACATGAGCCAGGGAGTTGATTTGATGAAGAGAGGAAGGATGTGTGTTGCATACTATGGCTTCCTGAAGCAGCACTGTCAACTCTTGAGGGTGCTATTCTTCCATCCCAAAGCAGACCTCGCTGTCCAGAAGCTCGGGGAGGCCGAGAGAAGTGCTCCACAATTTGAAACAGCACCAAGAGTCATCTCTTACAAAGTCAGCTGCACTGCTTTCTGCTGAGGGAAGGAAGCTGAATAGAAAACCACAGTTATGAAGGACTGTGAATATCTATCTACTTTATATAAGTGCATTTGTGACTAGTAAGAGTTTTTAATTGCACTTGAACACTGAAGTCTCTTCATTTTACCTGAACTCTGCTTCTGTGCTGTTCTCAGGCCTTTCACTCCCGTGGGCTACAACACAGGTTACCTGGCTACAGGACTTGGGCTTTGCAGGCTGTGTGGGCAGCACAGAGCTCTGCCTGCTGATCCAGCAGCCCAGCAGTTTGTGCACAACATGGCATGTGGCAGCCCCGGCAAGAACCAGAGTGCTGCTACACAGTTATTTTACTACCTTGTTAAACCAAACTATTTCAATGCTACTGACAAAGCTCCAGGCACACAAAACCTCTTGGGGTGAACGGCAGCAACGGCCCGGCCTCTCCTCTCTCCCACCTGCAGGAGGGGTGGGGGGAAAGGAGACCGATTTGGCTGGAGCAGAGATGGACACTGTGGAGCAGAAAGGACAGGACAGCTGTCCTAAGAGCGACAAAGGGACATTATCCTCAGCTGGGTGCAGTGCTGTGCCCTGAGTGCCCCAGGGGAGCAGGCAGGGACGGAGCAGCAGTGGCTTCCTGCGCGAATAAAGAGCTGGCAATCTACAGCCTTACTTGTGGTGTTACTGAAACACAAACATCTCCCCTCTCCTGTGTTTTCTGCCCCAGGGAGGGGAAACATGATACTGCACATAAAAGCTGCCACATATGACAATTTTCAAGGGAAAAGACTTTATATGCCAAAGCCTTGGAGGCCGGTAGATCGGTATGCAGCATTGTGTGATAAGTCAACCAGAACCTTCCATTCAGCTGGGAAAGGCAGCTGGGGACTGCTTATCAATTTTTTATGTGAATTTTGGTCCAACAACAGATGATTTAATGATTTATCATTACAGCTTTTCTCCTTTGGAGAAACACTGTTTACAACTCCAAATGAACCAACTCAAATCCGCGCTATGTTCTTCTTCCTTTTTTGTGCCATTCCCCTTGTCTATGACCACATCCTTATCTCTTGCTGTCCTTGTGCTCTACTAACTTCTGGCTCTTCTCCTGAGAGGTCAGTCCTTTGCAATTCCCAAGCTGGCTGACCAGGAGCATCTTTCCACTTCCATTTGCCTGATTACTGCTCACCTCCATTCAAATGGGCTCAGAGCCCCACCTCTTTCCAGCTTGTCACCTGTAATCTTGTACAATCAGTCTCTGAAGTTGTGTCTTACCCATTCACAATGTTTGCAGGGTTAATAAGCCATTGCATACACAGTCCCTTTCTTATAGATAGGATCATATTTCACCGACCATATCCATGGTGCCCAAAATATTCCAAATGCTTTTCAGATACAGGATTAAGTCCTGTTCCAAAGAACATACAGCTGAAATACCACCACCACCACAAAAAAGAAAAAAAAAATTAAAATGATAGTGCTGCTCCTCACCTCTCAGTGTACTGGTTTCTTCTGCAATATTAGGCCATCACCTTTGCCTCAAGACTTGCATAAATGTTTGCAGTTCCCCTGCTGGTATGCATCAGTTATTCCTTTGCCCAGTATTTGGCCTATCCACAAATCACCCATTCTCTCTCTCTCCAGTCTTTTTCCTCTGACTAAATGATAAGACCTGAATTTACTTTCCAATCTTCTGTGTACCTTACAAACTTCAATGATTTCCCTCGTCATGAATGGCTCATTATCTTTAATTCATTCATGCTCCCCCTCCCTGGATGATGGAGCAGTGTTATTTCTCTCTATTTCACAGCTCAAGAGCTGTGAGATGGGATGACTTGCTGAGGCAATATAAGAAACATGTAGCAAAGCTGAGAATTCCATCTCTCCTATCTCCTGAGCTAACATCACCACCAGTGTGCATGAGAAAGTTTGACTGCTGCTTTCCTACAAACGAAACCCTTTCATACACTTCCTAGTTGTTTGTTGGGTTTTTCTTAATGGAAAAAGTTAAATCAGTTTTTTATCCAAAATAAATTTATTTCTGCCAAGAAAATGTCATTCTTATTGATTTTTTTGCCATTGTATGCTTAAGGGTGCATATAGAAAATACAGCTTATTTTTTTCTAGACCCTGAATTGAAGGCTCTCATTGATCTGACTAGGAACTGGTGATCCCTTAGCTGGTGTACAAATTATGCAGCAGAACAGTAATAGGGTAGTTATCATACCCCAAACTCAGGTCCCAACTCTGCTTTTAGGGAAGTGTTCTCAAAATATTCTCTGATGATTATAGCTCGTAGACTTTGGCTGGTTGCTTTTCATGGCATCATACAAGAGGTAATCCAAAAAAGGGAGATTTAACACCTGTGTGAACTGCAAGGTAACACTGAATAACAAAGAAGAAAATACCCTTGTTTGTCTCTTTATACATGTGTGTCTTTTATATATGACTGTGCATTAATCCTTTGAAAATATTCACGTAGCCCTTCTGCAATATTATTCATACCCTTTTAATGTAAAAGGTAGTTTTTAAGCATGACTTTGGCAGTCTACAGTCAATCTGAAATCATCTGGTTTCCAGAAAGTGCATCTACAAAGCTGGGCTAATACATTTTGAGGTTGCTTAAGTAATGAAGAATCCTGCCACTGACTTAGATGTTACATTTTGCTGACCTCAAAAGACTTTCAAAAAGAAGATGAGACAGCACAGCTCAGGTTTCTTCACTCTTCATAAGTAGTTTGCACTGTAGAGATTATTTTGTATCTGCAAAAATAAAGTATTTATATGACAGAAATACCAAAATATGTTAAGTATTTTCCAGAAGTATAGAAAGAGATGCTTTGCTACACAAAGAATGTACAATCAGAAGAACAAGATATGAGAAGTGAGAGCAATGGGACTTGAAAGGAAGAGGAAGACCAGCTTATAAAAATAGTCATGACATTTCTTAATTATGTATTCTAATACATGACACATCCTGTCACAAAACTTAGTCCTTGACATGGACTAATTTCTATGTTCTCAGTCAACTTACTCCCCTTTAGGGGAGATTGTTACAAGGATCAAAATTAAAGAGTAAAAATGTGGTAAAAGGTTACGTTCTGTAGTACAGAGTGGATCTGAGAGCATCATGCTGTCGTTTCACAGGTGCTGGATCCACGGCAGACTTCAGCAGGAGACCTCTCAGAGAACTCAAGGATCTGGTGAGCTTTATCCACTTCTCTTACAGTGAAGCCACCGTGTGATTCACAAATCAGATGCTGGGATAACCTCACCACGCAGTAGCTCACAGTTTTTGATTGCCAACCTGCTCAAAGGATCTATGGAATTAAGGACTGAGACCTGGAAATACAAAGATAGTACACCTTTGGTGCAACCCTTCTTTTAAAAATGTCATACGACATTTGATTTCAGTGGCAGAAAGTTTTGGGAACACACTCGACTCATATTTTAAGATGTTAGGTTTTATAAATGTTGACTCTATACTAAGAGAAAGCACTTTTACTGCTCAGTGTGGGTGCCGTCTTGTATCTGAAAATTTGACCTCCCTGTTGAACTAAACTCAGCTTTCTCTGATTATCCCACTGCCAGCCCAGGGATTACTGGCATGAGTAATCTAAGCAGGAGTTGGCCTACTAAATGAAAAATGTCCATGGCAGCGAGAGGAAAGGGAGTCACAAGGAAGCTCTGCAAAGTTCTTGTAGTCACTCAGTGACACCACCAATGAACCCAAACCATGATCAAAGCAACCACCAGCACCAGGGAACAACAGGCACGTGGAGGAAGAAATCAAGTCAGAGGCACTGTCAGCTTGAAAAGAATGGCAGCTTTGTTATCAGTGTCAGGCTAATCATAGCGACACTTCGGGCAGCAGAATTTCCCTGTCTCTCCTAGGAATAACCACTGCACAGAGAGGAGGCAGCTTACACTTCGGAGCTGGCACACAGGGCTGAAGTTCCCATCTGCATCCCACTGACCCTGCAGGGTGACTGACCCTGCACAAGGACTCACTGTGCAGCACCAGCTCTCCTGCAGCCGCTGGCAGGTGAGGTGAGATACGGCCCTTCATTTCCTGCCAGCGTTCCAAAGGTCACTTGAAAACATCCAGAGAAAGAACCTGCCACTTCTGCCTGCTGGGTAACACCTACTCTGCCTTCTAAGCCTTCGTAGAAAGAGCAGTTGCACACAGTAACATTCAGTACCTCAGTCCTGTTCATAAAAATCACATGTTACTCACCACTGTGTGAGTTCCCCAAGACCTTCACATTTACATTTTTTTGTTCAATCTGGAGTCTCACACTTCAGATAAAACAAGTCTTAATCTGAAGTGAAATAAGAGTTAATCACAAAGCAGGTGAGTCTAACAATCAGTCGTTTTTTCCTGAAGGGATCCCAGACACATAAAAATCAAGAATCTAAAGGTGTGAGGTGACAAGGACATTTCAAAGTTTTAGAGGAAAACAGGACTGGCTGCTTCAAGTGATGATGCTCGGAACAAACCTTTCTGCTTAGTGTTTAAATGTGGCTGACAGCTGAGCTACAGAGTGCTTTAAAAAAATATTGTCAGAATTCATATGAATAAAATCAGAGGACTTCCTCTGATGGAAGCCAGTATCTTTTTTATTCATTTTATGGAAGCGTAGAAGTATGTTGTCTGCAATAGTATTTCAGAAAGTAAAAATCCAGTGGCAGTGCTATGTTGTTTGCAAGCTATTTGGGTATCTAAATCCTCATAAACAATGCTGAAAAGGCGCTGCCCTTCAGATAGGAGGGAGCAACAATGTCATATGACTTACCTGGCTCTATAGTCAATAGTGGAGCTAAGTGTAATCAAGGCTGATCATTCAGCAAGAGCCCAGGGCTCAGAGATTTCTAATTCCAAAGAAAAACTCCTTGCAAACGACTTGTGTTTCTAAGTAAAAAATGAACCAACTATGAAATGGGCTCCCATGGTGCAAAAATGTCTATTTTTTTTTCCTTCTGCTGTAATTAAAAATAGGAAATGGGAATAAGCTTTTGGATTCTAAATTATTCACTTTGAACAATTCTATCAGGCCTAAACGATTAAACTAGATATTAATTTTAATCAAATTACATGTCATATATTAATATGAGCGTAAATCCTACATTCCTTGACAAACACCAGCATTCTATCAATAGGGAATATGAGCAACACAAGCTGCTCACATTTAGGACATAAATGTGGTAAATATGCAGTGTAATTTAACTTGGCAAAGTAAAATTTAATTTTAGAAAAATAGCTCCTGTATTCTTTAAGGCAGGTAAAATTTCCAGGTTTCTAATTACATGAGTTGTATGGTTCTAAAAAGAATTCATGGAACGTGTTTTAGTGCTGAATGCTACAATTCTTGATCTTATTTTACTAAAATACCTGATTTTAAAAGTAAGATGATGATTGAAAAACCTGCATGCCACAGAACCCGTAGCGTAGGAAGGTTGAATGCATGCTGGTTATCTGCAATCTGACACTCAGCTGCCAAAAGAGGACAGGAAAGTGTAATTCAGCACAAAACCATTTTAAAAGGGACCATCCCACACCAGCATGAATCTTCTGGGACCTTTCAGAAAGGCTTAACAGATGGAAGTATTTATATAACTAAGTGCAGATCTTATGGATCACTGACATTTCACATTTACATCAAGTCATCAAGAGATCATTTGCATCTATAGTAGGGTCTAGACCACATGAGAATTACTTTCTCCTTAATTAATAAACTTACCCAGCCCAGGATGTCACTGATAAAAGTCTGAGGCTCCCATTTCCTTCTCTTTTATGGAAGTTCAAAACACTGTGGGTCTCCTAACTACAGTTGCCCCTTGTACAGAGCTATGCAAGCTCAGCTGCTGATTCCACTGGATATGCAAAAATTGGTGCCAGAGTTCTATGGAAGGCAATCAAACCCTAAATATATGTGTCCTTATTAAGAAGAAAGGCTAAATGTTCAAACTGTGGGAAACACTGCAGGTAGAGCTCAGATCTTCTGACATATCAACTGCAAACTCAGTCTTCAGGAAGCCAGACTTTGTCCCAGTGCCCCTTGCCTATTTGTTTCAGTGGGCTAAGAGCTACTCGGTCAAATCTCCCTTGCAGCACTGAAATACCCCCAAGTCCTTGGATCTGCATATTTTGATCACAACCATCTGGTGGCAGAGTATCAGAATATGTGACGTATCAAATTTTAAGCCTACTGAAAATCTTTCCAGAAATCTATTAAAAAACATTCAGAAATTTAAAAGCTTGCAGCTCTTCGGTTTCCCATAGCTCAGCTACCAGTGCTGCTACAGCATGAGGTGTCTGAGAGCTGTCTGTGAACTACAGCCATGGGTACTGTGCCTTCATGTGAGGAAAGCCAAAGACACATGGGCTGTTCCAGCCTGTGCTGCAGTATTCCCCACTGATGCCATACACTGGTGTTGAATAAATGTCTCTGCATTAAGCCAGTGTTCACACAAATGAAATATTTTGTTGTAAACTGCTGGTACTTAAGGCATTGGTGTTTGTGCTCGAGGTTTTCCAGTTATTTATGGCACCAGCAAAGCACAACATCCCACGTTAGCAGTATGGAAGTTTGTCATAGCTGGAATTCTCTGGGACTGGTTACCTTTGTGCATATTCCTGCTAGGAGTACACACACACCTGTGTGCACTCAGCCTTGTCTTCATGTTGTTCACAGGAAGAAAAAGGTCACCATGTGCATTACACCCTTTGTCCCACCTGCTGAGCCCCTTAATGTCAAGGGGCTTTACATGAGAGGAAAAAGAGGACACGAGGTGAAAGTACACATAAACAAACATACCTCGAAGCATCTCATTTCCTGGTAAGCAAAGTCCTTTTCTCCAACTGCCAAACCACAGTTCCACCAGGACTTCAGGTGACTTAAAAGCAAAGCCTTCCCCCCTGGAGGAGGGCTGCAAACCCCCAGACAAGCGATTGTGACTTTTGCCACATTCACTGTGCACTGTGAAGGTTTCTAGGATGGTGTTACACCTTGCTAAGTCCCCTTTCGAACGTGTGTGTTCTGCAAACATTGGGTCTGCAGCAAAACACTCTGCAGGGTCAACCTTTCCTTTGCATGTTACTCTCTTTTGCCCCATATTTTTGCAGACAGGTCGTTCCACTCTACATCACTGACATCAACTCTGTCGCAATATTGCTGAGCCTGAATTCTCTCCTCAGGTAGGATTCCTGATGATTACACTTGCTGTCTTAATTGTGTAAGAAATTCTGATCAAATAAATCATGCCTGATGCAGGAAAACCCCACATAAGGAGACTTCCCTCTATATAGAGACTTGCCAAGTTGCTTTTTAAGGTCAGTGAGGTGCACAAATATGACCACAAAGGATGGAGGGATGGAGGGAGCACAAAGGTTCTCCTCATTATCAGAGGGAAATCTGATCTAGTTACTGCTGAGAGGAGAGAAAACCAGATGAGTCCTTCTCCAGTTACATTACTGTCCCTGGAACATACTATGAAAGTGGCTTTTTCTACAAATTTAGCTGCAGTGTTTATATTCAGTACAAACCTAGGTTGTGTCTTGTAAGTTCACAGTGACGGAGATACTCAGATGCCTGCAAGTGTAAATGTAATTGCTTTGTTCTTCTGGGAGTCTGTATTATATTTGAAGGTTGGCAGAGCCAAAAAGCAGAGAGCTGTGCCTCGCTGTTTCTTTGGAATTGGCTTCCATTTCATGAGGTAGAAGAATTAGAAACAGTTAACTCACCAAATGCAGAGAATGAACTTGCTGGAAGGAGGATGGAACTGCTGAGGTAAGGTCTTATGTCTTTTCTGTAGGAGACTCTACTTACCTGTATCAGTCACTGATTATCTAGTCCAAAACTCTCCAAAATGTTAGTAGTAGGTCAAGGACAGATATATTTTATACAACCATAAATAACTCATTTTCTATTCACTTCTATGAACAGAAGTGAGGCAGAGTGAGCAATCAGGTGGAGTGTCCTCTGCCAGGTGCCACACTCTCAGTTTTGTGTTTCAAGTGGCCCTTCATTGAGCTTTTTATGGTATTTCAGAGGTCATAAAGGCTGCAGGGAACAACAAAGCTGTTGATAAGAATGAAGTTTGTGTCCTCATCCTCCCACCACCATGAGACCATAAACAAAGTTATGCCTCTCTAATTCCATTGTTTTTCTGGAAGGGTATTTATTTTAGGCTTCTGTTCTGAAGAACCGTTTTGAAGTCTGAATAAAATTCATGCCTAAAACTATTTACTCTTCTTGATACCATAGGAATAAGGTGAAGTTCTTCACTAGAGTATACCCTGTGACAAATAATGCCCTAGTAATTATGGGTGGGGATTTTCATGCGGTGACTGATGATGCCTTGGAAAAGAGCCATGGCACTGTGCATTCAGAAGCTAAGCTATCTAAATCCTTGCAGGCCTCATTTATGCTTTTGGGAATATAGGACAGGTGTGGCAGTTACTAAACCTGGATACTTGAGAATTCACCTCTTATTCCCAGGTGTGGGCCATTAATTCTCGCTCAGACTTGTTCAGTCCTAACAAGTCTCTTTTGAACCAGATTTTATATGTGCACGTATACTGACACAATAAATAGCATTTTCCTTTCAATCCATTTATCTACTTTGTTTTTACTCATCTTTAGCTATGCAGCCTCATCTTACCTAACATTTTGCACACACATGGCAGCAAACCCCAGAAACGATCAGTGGCAGCCTACAAATCCCTGTCACGTTCCGTAGATACCAGAAGACTTGCAGTTTGCATTGTTCAGTACAATTTCTGAACAAACTCGGGTAAAACTCAAGCCAAGCCCAGTGAAATTCATAACAAAGGCTATACTAATTTTAATTGGATCACTAGGCATCAGAGCAAAGCCAGAGAACACTCAAACACAAACACATGTTCGTAAAATCCTGTAAAGGAACATAGTGCTCATTCCTTTTGCTAGAT